AAAGCACAGGCTCCGCAGGAGAGAAGAATAAAGCCAACTTAGGATGAGTGACACTTAAGGGCTTGAAAGGACACAGCGACCTTTGAAAGATGGACTTTAAGGGATGTCTCTAATGGTAAGAAAAATAGAGAAACAAAAGAGCATGCCACGGGTAAATAGGTTGGATTTTTGTCCCGAAGATATGCCAGTGTGAAGGCAACGCACAAGTGTGAGTTACACTCATTATCGCCTGTTTGGGGCTCAGTGTGAAGAGCAAAGGTGGACTGTGGAGAGGAACAGACTTCAAGTAAGCAAATTCTGCTTCCAATCTGGCTATAATACTCAGCAATGAGCGACGCGGGGGAAGTGGCCTCACCGGGAAAGCAAGGTAACTAACACCTGCCCCACAGTACCCTGGGACTGTTGAGCATAAAGACAACAAAGCTATGACAGGAAAGAGACGTCCTGGAAACACTGAAGCTGCTGCGCATCTCTGCCTTAAGGACGGCCTCTAGCAGGCGTGGCGCAGGGAGAGGCGATCGAGAGTCAGAGAACTACTGAAGGTTCCTTTGACTTTTGGAAACACTGACTCTGGACTAAGAAAAGAACATCGTGATTCTGTTCTTATCACCCAGGTTACAAATGTGCTATATGGAAACACGGAAAACTGAACTCCCTAAAACCAGCATTGACCTGAAGTGGATCTGAGTTGGACGGGAGGCTGTGACTAACTAGATGGCAAATAGGAAATAAAGTTTTGGTCATGGGCAGCAACTTCACTGTGTGATTTTGGGACAATTATATTCTTTGAAGATGCACCTCCCAATTAATTTTTTTCACCTACAAAATGGGTGAATGAATATGCACTAGAATTTCTACCTTTTAGGGTCAGGTGAATGTACATAGCACAATGTTCCTGGTCCAGCACCTGCTGCATGGCGAGTAATCAGTAGTAGTCTCATTTCCCCCAGTTTCACAGTGAGACCTGCCAATGTGTATTTTCTCTGTTCCATTTTGCCTTGCAGACTGTCCATCACGTAGCCTTCCTGCTCGGCCAGAGCCGCCGGTGCCTAGGCCTCCATTGAAATGCTTATGCAAACTCTACCTTTCCCCTCATAGGTCTCTCTATTTTCTAATCTCGTCTCTTAGTTTTGCCTGTGTTAAAATTATTTTATTGATCCTATTATGGTCTCTGATGAAACTTAGCATGTCAACATTTATGATTCCCAACACGGTTGCCTAGCCTGAAGTCCTCCTGGGTTCATTCCGAGACCTTTGACTTCCTTAATGGTTTCTTCACAGCAACACCCAAACAGAATATCCAAAAAAAATTTGCCATGTTTTATTTTCTCAGATGGAAAAGAGTTAATGCTATATGAGGGGTATTTGAAAGTAATTAGTATGTTTTATGTGTATGTGTGTGTGTGTGAAAGAGAGAAAGAGAGAGAGAGAGAGAGAGAGAGAGAGAGAGAGAGAGAGAGAGAGAGATTCAACTTTTTTCTCCAGTCATTCTGGCCTCCCTCTCCCTTCCTTTTAAAGAAGGTTTGGCCCCTCTTGCCTAGTAAAGTCCCATTTACCCAGTTAAACAGTTAAATGCCATCATTTCTGAGCATCCTCCAACTACACATAGCCCTCTCTTTCTCCTTAGCACCAAATGAAGGGGTTCAATTTTCCTTGTACACACTGACATTTTGTTTATACCACTAGGCACTTCTTTCTGCAGGGCCCCGAGATCAAGCACTGTGTTTGCTGGTAACTGCATACATTTTGGTGGAAGGGGGAGCTGATCAAGACCAGTTTCTCCTGGTTTCTTATTGGGTTTTTCCTAAGGTGCCCAGGGTGGACCATGCAGTACTATTTTAGAAGCATGGAAGTGGTTCAGATATGTGTTGGAGCTAGAGAAAAGATATTTTATTTCTACCTTCCGTTCCCCCCAAGCCATGTTACTACTCTAAATTCTATCACAGAAACTTCCATTACAATCTAAAAACAAAACAAAACAAAAAAAAACCCAAAAACCCAATATTCTTTCCACACTGCATTAGAAAGGGATTAACTTTGAATATCTTTAGCAGTACACAGAGGACATGATGATATATTGTTGCTTCTTTTCCTAGTAAGAGTCTTAGGGAGATATTTTGTTATTGTCTTTCTCCATTATGACTTATGGGTTATTTAAGGGAAATTCTATGTTAAGATTCCAATAGAGATAGCCAAAGCTTTGTGACGTGTGTAGTGTAATTAACTCTTCGAATTTTTCATCCTCTATCCTTTTAATTGAGGCAATCACATTGACTGTTCAAAGTCTATGTAGCTGTTTAAGGTTTTTCCAATACCCTGGGCAGTCATAACAGGTGTAGGGTGGATTAGCATTTCCCACCGAGGGGTGGGAATCCATGAAGGAAACTGAAGACAAATATTGCGTTTGTTGAATTCAGGTTGCTTCTATCTCAGCACACATAGCTCCACTTAAGTTGACCATCACAGCAAAAGCCACAACACACACACACACACACACGTACACACACAAAGAGCAGCATGGAGCTAACCACACGACTCCACAGATGATGCAGACAAACTTGAGTAGAAACCAAGATTGTTCTACCTCTTTTCATAACAGGTTAGTGCTGGCCCTCAGTGTTGGTGTACAGTTTTTATGGCATGGGAAAATAGGGATGTTTCTGCCCTATAAAAATAAATGTGTTGAAGTCTTTAGTTTGAGCTCACACAACGTCAGAAAGTTCCAAAGGCGTTGGCACAGTACAAAAAAAATTAATAAAAGAAAAATAACAAGAGAATCCAACAAACAAATACATATCACCAAAACACATGGCAAGAGGCTAAGAACATTCTAGGAGTAAAGCTACTAGTTTCTCAGATTAATGCAACAATTTCCAACACAGTTTTGGAAAATATAGCATAAGAGCGAGAAACTTGTGGGTCTTTTTAAGGGTAGGGAGATGGGCTAGCTACCAATAACCACTTGACTTTAAACTGTTCAATTGACCATTTTCTCCTTTCAAAGGTTGAAAGCACAGAACTTTCATTGTCTTAACTTTTTAAGCATAATGAAGAGCTGTGGGCAAGAACAAAAAAATAAATGCATGCAACTATAGTTAATAGAGAAAAGGATACATGGAACATAGACACAGAGAGTAACTGATTCCTTCACTGTATGCATCATGCTATACACTTCTTTCCAAACCTTAGTTCAGCCCATGTGGTTGTTCCTGCATGACAGCTTTTTTTCTACTCTATAAAGGGTTGGGGAGAAAGATAAGTAGGAAGCAGGATTATGGGTTTAAGTAAAGACAATACTTTTGGTGTCAAAGAATGCAAGGTGGGCAATGGGGCTAAAAACAGGGAAATTTTCACTGGAGATAAGGACTCATAATTCCTCAAAAAAATGAAAACTTACCACATTCTGTGCAAATTTCTCAAAAGATGTTCTGCGATCCATTGAGTTTCCAGACTTAAATGTGTGGTGTGGGGTAGGGTGAAGGGGAACAAGGAAACATTAAAAAAAAAAAAGCAAGAAAAACAGAACAGAAAAAGACAGGATGGTAAAGTAACGCTCCACTGGGGCCACGGATGAAACTCATGCCCACGTGGCAATGGGACTGCCACGGGGCTTCTCACCACTGGATCCAGGTTTTTTGTTTGTGAGTGACTTCATCATAAAACCCCAAAATTATACGTGAGCAAACAAAGTGATGCAATTTAAAGCAAAATGAAGTTAAGCAGAAATGAGGAAGATATGGTAAGCTTTTATGCTGACAGTTGCAGAGCCTAAATATCTGAAAATTTTGTGGAATTTCTTTAGAATCGGCTTCTAATTTCTATGAAGGTTGAATTTCTGCCAATAACATTGACTTGGTACAGACTTTCTGTAGGCTAGACTTTGCTCAAAGGACGGATATCTGCCTTGATTCTGTCTCTTATCAAAGCCTCTAGCTGCAGTGACTGAGTAGAGAGGTTTAAAAGACGACTTACTTTGAAATATCTTTGTTCTGTCCTCAGTCAATGAAACTTATTTTCTCTCTAGTTACCTGAACTTCACCTGAACTTCAGAGAGCCATCAGTCTTGTGGCTCTAAACAGTGAGCTATTGTCCCAACTGATCTGAGTATCTTCAAACTTGTATCAGTTGGCTACAATTTTGTGTACTTTAAATTAACTAAAATGAATTTTTAAACATCAGCAGTTGCCACATTGGGCAGTATTGCTACTTGCAACAATTTTTATTTGTAAAGGCAATGGGCTATGAAAAATATCACAGTATTTTAAGTTATAAATTAACAGAACTGTAGCTTAATCATAGAAATTTAAGAATCTATGGGTTTTTAACATTAAAATAATGAATAATGTTCCTTTTCTCTGCATATTTTCTGTTTAATGTTAAATTGGTCATATAAGGGATTTATGTGCCATGAAACTTCAATTACAAACAATTAATGAAGTCTATCACTACCACCACCACTACTATTATTACTCCTCTTCCTCTTCTCAAATGTGTGTGCTTATCATATTAGTTTGAATGAAATAGGTTATCAAGATACTAAGTAGTTTGGGATATAAGTCAAATGAAACTATTCATCTGCCAACACTATTGCTGCTTAGCAGCTATCCTTGAAAAAAGTAAGTTTCTATTTCTCTACAAACATACACACTGGCCTTGTAAGCAAACACAACTGCCTTCAAATTTCAGCACTGGAATTATTTCTACTTGGAGTTTTTCATTTCCTTTAGCTAGGAATAAAGATTAACATCAAACATGAAAATAGCATCTAATAGGCTTTGTAAAACATGAACATCTGCCAAAGCAACCGAAAAATGATACACAGAGCAATCACCAAACAGAAACAAAACCAACTTAAATGGCCCTTAGAAATGGATGGGCGGGGAAAGGTCTCAGAGAATGACTACTTACCACATTATTAAAACCCTGGCCCAACAGAGATAGTTACTTTCATTAATTTCAACTAGGAACTAAGGTCAGGAGAGGTCACAAAGAACCAGTACCTTTCGCTTTGCCTGTAGAAGTTCCTGGTAGGCACTAGATCTTATAAAGCGGGGATAGGAGTCACTCTTCATCAGCTTGTAAATGTGCTCCTGGAAAGAGAGAATGGGTAAGGGGCTCCTTTATCAGTTTAGTAAAGCACTGTAACGAGGAGACTCAGGTAGCTAAGAAACAAATGCAGAGCTACAAACAGCAACTGTAGTGCTGCTAAGAACACCTTGTGTTTACAGGACATTTGGGCCTTTCAGGCCATCATTTCTTTCCCAGATCAATGTTTACTTGGGCTGGGAGCTACTCTGGAGGAGAAACCATATGTTCTCATTTTAATAACAGAGTTTACCCAAGAGGACATAACTTCACATCAGTATGACAATTTATATGGACACTTTGAAAATTGAAACCTGAGCTATAAACACTCCGGAGAGCCGTGGGCCTCATGGCTCTGAGAGCTTAGACTATGTGCCTACCTGAGCATCTTCAAATGTGTATCTTCCTGGTTCCTTCACGCTCTGTGTGGTCTTGTCGTAGCTCTTGGAATCCAAGTTAATGGCACTGGGGGCCCCAGGAGCCAGAAATTCCTGCCATATTTCCTGCACCCGAGAGGGTACTTCTCGGATAGGCCTTTTCTTCAGGTCCTCCACTGCCAGCCAGAACCTACAAAACACCACAGCACCTCTGAACCCAGAAGGCACACCTGGGCATTCTTGCAATGTTAATTCACTACTCTAGCAAGCTCACTCTTCCTAGGGATTCCAATATCAGGCCCCCACTAGCTTTCTTTTTTTGCTAGTTTTATGCTATGGAATAACCCCTCTGCATGCTGTGAATAGGTTTAATTATCATTGGTTAATAAAGAAACTGATTTGACCGATAGCCAAGCAGAATAGAGACAGGTGGGAAATGCAAGTGGAGATAAGAGAGAAGAAGGGCAGAGTCAGAGAGACACCAGCAACTTCTGGAGAAGCAAGATGTGAGGTAACAAGCCACGAGCCTTGTGGTAAAATATAGACTCATAGAAATGGGTTAATTTAGTTGTCAGAGCTAATTAATAATAAACCTGAGCTAATAGGCCAAACAGTTTGTAATTAATATTAAGCCTCTGAGTGATTATTTTAAAAGATCTCAGGACTGGGTGGGACAGACATTTACAGTTTTATTTTTATTTTTAAGATAGGGTCTTGTATAGCTCAGGCTGGTCTTGACTTTCCTAAGTTGCTAGAGATGATCTTGATAAAGAAATGTGATAGGCATATAATAGACAGCTCAAGAAATACATGTGTATATACATATATAAGACATATTTAATATCTGTGCCTGCATGTTCCTGAATGAGCCATCTTCTTTAGTTTTCTTTTACTTTCATTTTCTTTATTATAGGTAAGTACATGCATGTGTGTGTGTGTCTGATGTGTTAATATAGATAGATATGGGAGTTCAGTTTTTTTCTTTTCTCTGTGGGTCTTTTTGAATTATATCAACAATCCAATTCAAGAACCACGGATTGAACCTAGGGTCTCACATATGCTATGCAAGTTCTTTACCACAGGACTACAGTCCCTGCCCCACCTTAGATTCTGAGTGTCTTTCATTGGTTTGGAGTTTACCGAGTTGGCGAGACTGGCTGGCCAATGGGGCCTGGGTGTCTTCCTGTCTCGGCCTGTGTAGCACTGACTGCTGTGTGATGCACCGTCACATTCAGACTTGTTTTTAACATGGGTTCTGGGCATCAGATTTGGATCCCCAGGCCTACAGAGCAAGTCCTTACTGAGTGAGCCATCTCCTCATCCCTTTGAACTGAGGGTCAAAATTCATGTTATTTTCGATAAGGGCTTTACTGAGAAGCTACATCCTAGCCTCTCTTGCATTCTACAGATGACTACTGATGGATGAAGAAGTCAAGCAAAGAACACATGTCATTTAACTCCAACTTGATCCAAACTCGGGAGGTTCTGCTCTGGTTTAGGGAAACTTATATGTTCCATTGTCTTCCAAATCGAGTGAAATAGCAGTTAGTTGGACAGTTATCCATGATGATGAGAGTGTCCCGGATGGCCCATGGAATTCTCATGTACAAACACTAAATTTATATTTTAAAAAAATTCCCAGGGGTTTAAAAGATGACTTACTTTGAAATGTCTCATTGACTGAGGACCGTCACATTCAGACTTGTTTTTAACATGGGTTCTGGGCATCAGATTCGGATCCCCAGGCCTACAGAGCAAGTCCTTACTGAGTGAGCCATCTCCTCATCCCTAGAGTTCATATATGTGATATCTCTTGGGGAAATTAGTCCGGCATAGGGTTAAACATAAGAAATAGCAAAGGGGTAACAAAAGTAAAGACTTGGCAGTGACTCAGTTCCTCCCTGAAGTCCAGTATTTACATACCACACTGTGTCTTTGCTCTCCGATTTTAGCCAGGATGTCTCCTTATCACCTGCTCTCAGCCTGCGAGCCTCTGTTAAGATGTCTGTGGTGGCTCTAGGTGAGGTACCCCTCCCTACTCTCTTATCTAACTAAGGATTCAGCTTCAGCATCCCATGGGGCCACTTATTTTCTTGAAAAGTTTACTTAGTAAACCCAACAAAAATCCCCAGGATTCTCCAAACCCCACAACACAACAAGAGAGCACACTCAAGAATCCATGACAGACGGAGAAAATGAAAGGATTCCAGGTCTGACCAGAGTCATCCTGCCTCAACACTGAGGCATCTGTCACCATTATGCATGTTTCTGATTAATTCCTAAAGAGAACGCAACAAATAGTCTTTTGCTAGCTTGGCGCTCATGAAAAGAAATAGATGTCAATATCCTTTTATAAATGAATTTCACAGAGCCCAGTAAGATACGGCAAAGAAAAAAACAGTTTATCAGGTTTCAAAGAACAAGCAATGGAGAACCTCACCAGAAAAAAAAAGGGGGAGAATTTTTCATGTAGTGAGAACATATTGTTTTAATCGTCTTAAGCAGATCTATGAACACTCAAATGCCTCCTATTTTAAAAGTTTGTCCTAGGTGTCCCTTGAGTTAGGAAATATTCCAGCAGATCGGAATGTTGAGGACAGATGGGCAGAACAAGTGCCCTGGCCTCTTTCTCTGCACCACGCATCATTAGTCTCAACAGCCCTGCTGTGCCTGTTCTTAGCTAAAGGCTGAGGAGCAATCAACAGCTCTACTGAATCTAAAGGCACACAATTAAAAAAATAAAAATAAAAGCTTTCCTTTGACTTTTGTTCTAAGGTCTTTGAGGCATTCACTCTCTTTCTTGCGGGAGACATGCTGTTGGAAGTTAATAATGATAGGTGTTGATGTTTTAAAATAACCATACAAGTTTTATGGATCATTGTTAAGAATGAACTCTGAAATGCCCCTCAAAGGGGTTCCCCATATCTTGAATGCTTGGTCCCTGGTTTGGTAGTGGTATTTTAGAAAGCTGCAGGAGCCTTATCTTTTAATAAAGAAACACAATAGGCATAAAATAGACAGTTTAAAAATCCATACATACATACATACATATATTTGTGCATACATGTTCTCTGCTTCTTAGATCAGCATGATGTGAGCAACCCTAGCCTCACACTCCCACTGCCACGACCTGAGTTGCTCTGTCATGCTTTCCCACCATGAAGGACTAAAATTCCCTGAGTCTGCATTATTATGTGAACAGTGACTGATAGATGAGGTAAGACTCCTCAGACAGACGTGAGATAGCTCTGCTCTCAGAGACACACGCGATGAAGCTACGACTCAGGATGGATGTAGGCTAGAATCTTCCCGGTAAGCGCACCTTGGGGTGCTTACACACATTATCAGAAATGGGCTAGTCCAGGTGCAAGAATTAGCCTAGAAGAGGCTAGATAGAAATGGGCCAAGCAGTGCATAAATGAATACAGTTTGTGTGTTGTTATTTCGGGCATACGCTAGCAGGCAGCCGGGGTGCTGGGGACGCAGCCCCGCTGCTCCTATTTCAACAGATGGCGCCCAGACGTGTGGACAACTGAATTCACTGAAAGCCTGAGAAAGCTTGGGAAAGAGTAAAGCATGCATGTTTTCTTGGTAGCAACAATTTTTCGGGTCTGCTCTGCTTGCTAGAGGCAAGCAAGCACTCTGAGCTAAGAGAGGCTTCCTGACTCAGCTTTAGCTGCAAACCCTGCAGCTCATTAAGAGGTCCTGCCACGAAACACTTAAACGTTGTTACAAAAAGCTGAAACACATGCTTTTCGGTTTTCAGCTATAGCAGGAAAAAAGCTGCGCCGATTTAAAATGCCGGCTTTCTGGGCCATCCTGCCAGGGCAAACTCTGATTGTTTGAGGCAGGAGGGCTGGATACAGAGAGAGGACTTGAGTGTTGTCTGTTGTAGCTCCCTTGCTGGCAGGGACCTTGAAATGCCATAGAGTTGTGGCAGTAAACATGGCTACAGCCTGTATATCTGCCATGAGGCTGGAAAACTAAAAAATGGACTGGATCTAGCTGGCAAAGCCAAGGCTTTAATCCTACCCATATTGCTCAGTAATTTAAAGGCTCATGTGTTCAGAAAAAGAGAGAGAAATACAGTAAAAAGAGATTCAAAGAAAAAAAACTTTAAATGATTTACAGTGTGTTAAAAATATATGCAAGTTAAAAGTTCTTAAAAGTAAAAATAAGGAAGAGAGTTGTTGGGTGTGGTAGTACACACCTTTAATCCCAACACTTAGAAGGCAGAGGGAGATTGACCTCTGTGACTTCAAGGTGTGGTTGCACACGCCTTCAATCCCAATGCCTGGGAGGCAGAGACAGAAGGATCTCTGAGAGTTCAAGGACAGCCTGGTCTACAGAGTTATTCCAGGACAAAGATACAGAGAATGTAAAACAAAAGTAAAAATAAATGAAATAGAGTTAAAATAAAGCTGCACAAAGATGGAAAATACACAGAGAATCTTGGTACTGTATGCTATTATGCTCTCTTTGAATTGTTTGAATGCTGAGGAAGAAGCAACAGCTGCCAAAAGATATTTGTTTATAAATGCTGCTGAACTAATCCAACGTAGAGATTTTGATGCCTTGACTTTGAAATTTGGATCTAAGGACATGATACTTTGGAAAGGAGTTTCTATTTTTGTTTTCACAGAGGATGAGACCCTGTTCATTTCTTCTATTCCAATATGGTATGATGGACCACGTCCTCCTGAACGGTTGCAGTGAACACCTTCAGAAAATTACTTCACTCAACTGC